TTGAAACGTGCCAAAGTGAAGAAAATTTAATGAATCAAAGATAGCAACATGCCGTAAAAATCAAGTTTAAGTGATATTTTCTAAAGTCTGAATGATTCAGTCTAAAACGTAATATTTAAATTAAATTAAATTTAAAACTTAATTTTTCACGAGTGGAGTTATTTACGCATCGATTTTGTTTTGGAAAATTCGCTCAACTATGACTTAAAAGCGATAAATTAAATATTTATTTTTTTTTTGTAAATTTAAATATAATTTGAAAATAGCAACTTCTGATAAGAAACAATAGTGAATATTAAATTTAAAAATGTGGTTAAGTGAAGATATCACAGTCGCTTCTCAGTAAAATATGTAGGCCTAAAAGGGTTCCAAGTTAAAAGATTTTTATAGAATAGTTTTGTGTTTTCGAGCCCCAATTTCACCCTTTACAGCCACCTGCCCGGGAGATCGATCTTTCGCCGCTGGAACAACGTATAAGCTGTGAGTTTATTATTCTCATTATTGCATTTATATCTATTCTATTTATATCTTATTGCGAAATACTCTATGAAATAATTTTTAACAATCTACTTGAATGAAACTGTGAATTTAAAAGAACCCTGAACCGATAGCCTCACTAAACTAAATTAAATTAAACAAAAAGATATCAAACAGAATGAAGATGATTTAGTGAAATAAAAAAATAAATTAAAGCAATGAAATTTAAATATCTATTGTTATACCAGAGTAATATTTTTTATTGGTGAAGTACGATATCTGAATACCCTATATTTTTCTTATTTCTTATCTTTTTAAATATATACGAACATTATAACTACTTTAATTTATGAGGATAACATCATTTAAATATTTAAGTATCTAAATAGTATTTTTATCGCCTGTATATCATTTATTATATTTATATAAAATTTGTAGTATCTACCTGTTAGCAAATAACAATAATGAATTCTTGTATAACTATTAATTAAATTGTATTTGAAATGAATTTCGAGTAGTTCACGTTTTTTTTAACTCGGCTGATGCTTCCACAATCGTAGGGTATTAGGGGTCACCGGAGTTTAGCTCTGAAGGATGGTGATCATAGGTAGGGTGGGCATTTCGCGACCACGACAACATCTGTGGCATCGCTGATTCTAACTTTTCTCGATCTTTTCTATCTCTTGTTTTTTTTGAATTTTATCTATTTCTCTTCTGATTTTGATATCTCGCATTTATTTTCGTCAGCACACTCAATTCTGGTCTTAAAAATAATAATATGTAGCTAGTGTGCGGATTTGTCTAAGCAAGACCTCCACCCCCAAAGCAGACGAGCGAGAGCCGGACCCTATAGTGTGCACCCGCAAGGACAGATCCTAGAACTCACCACAGAATACCTTCGTTACACGCTACACTTTAATTGGCTTAACATAGGTGTATCGGTATCTGTATCGCGGCGTCGGTATTCTTTTCTACGAGTGTATTTATTTATCCTGCATCGGCTTCAGCACAGATTCTCACAATGTGCAACTTGCACTTCGATTTAATTCTATATATTTTGCAACAGAATTTCGGCTTTTCGGGGGGCTGGATAATGGGTGTAAATCAAATGGGTGGAACGCTGGATTTAATGGACAATTTTGTCAGCAGAAGGCAATTAACGAAATTCTGTGCAAATATTTGTGAAAACAAGGTCGACTTATAAATCTACCAAAGGGAAATCCAAGAGAAACTGCGTACAAATTGCACACGTTTTTGTAAATTCTTCATTTTGTCTGTGTGTTTTTTTGAGTGTCGGATTACTTCGATTTTCTCTCGTGACTAAAAATACTCAACAATTTCGTTTACATGAAACCATTTTAGCTACAATTTATATTTGTTGTATATATGGTTAAATATTTCCTACACATTCGCTTTCAACATTGATAGAAAAACCGCTTTGTTTTGTTCTTGTTGTCGTTTTGCTTTTCACCATTTGCCATGTTTTGCTCTACATCGAGATCTCGCTCTAGAAATTGCTTTGTATATAATATGTTAGAAATCGTAATTAAAAAGATTCTTTTGCTGACAACAATGACCCAAAACAGATTCGGTAATGCGGGTTTGATGGTGGCCAAGGACCCAACGGATCACTAAATACAACAATAATCCAAACACATCTGGGCGCACAATTTGCCCCTCGGTTCGAAAACTACGTAATGCACCTATGTGTGGTTAAGGTAAATCCTTGATAAATCTAAAAGAGTTCGTTGCACGTTTATTGTATCCTTAGGCTCGTCCGATCTAGAGACACCTCTCCTCGCGATTCTATTACACTGCGAAATAATGATCTACCGAAACTCATATTTCGTGTCTTCCGGATAATGGGACTTTTCAATTTTTCTTTATACAATATTCATCACATTTTCTTGTGGGGTATTTGCCTAGTTCTGGTTGCTAATTAATTTATATATTATTGCTGCGCCGTTACTTTGTTAGTTACTAATGTAAGTACAATATCATAAAAATAAAAATAACACTGTATATTTTGTTATTTACCATTAATTTCATTTCGCTTCATTTAATTGTTCGTAAATTATGCTTTTGTATTTTGGTTTAGTTTTACGCTTGGTTTTTCTTTATTGTAAATATAAATATATATAATATATATCTCAGGTTTTTCATTTATTAAGTACAATATAATATAACCATATACAAAGCGGCGCCCCCATCAAGCCAACCAACCTGCGACCTTTGTGAGCCTCTTGACCTTTGACCTCCCCTCCAACTCCGCGTGTGGCATTTGAAAAATTCGTAAACGGTTAGTACACTTTTAATATTCTTAGTTATTTTTTTTAGCGTCAGTCTTGTGTAAATTAAATTTTACTTCAAAAAACGTTTTAACGCGCACACGCGGAGCACAGTGAAGCCTCGAATCACGAATGCCCACCGGGCAGGTTTTCTCAGCTGCTCTCTCTCTCGAATCCATTTTCTCGCTGTCCTCGGGCCGCTTATTGTTATAAAAAATTGCTGCTCGACTTTACATATACATATATATATATATTTAATAAAATGTATATAATATATGCGTGTATACACATATAAGGTTTATTCAATTCACACGTAGACGTTTGTTAAAAAATGCATTTTTCTTATGTAAAAATGTTCGGCCTTTCCATTTCATCCATATTTGCCCCTCTCGTAAATATTATATTTTGTTATCCGATTTTCTATATTTTGTTGTGTTGAGACGCCATCGAGATATTGTTCTTGTACATTTCTATATATGTATATATTTTCGCATATACTAACCATCGCCTAAGTGTATGTGTTTGTATGCCTCGTATAGATTTAATATTTACTTTGGTTGATCGCATTCGGGAAGATTAAAGTTTACACGGTAGTGAGATAGGAGTTAAAGACGAGCGAGCTTAGCAAACCAATCGTAATTGAACTACATTTAGAGTTTAGACAAGTTTAGTCCTAATAATTTGCCGCCTTCCTCCATCGTATTTTGGTTTTACACTTGAGATTAGAGCTAATTTGACACAACCGTTTAATTCAACTATTTTATCATATCGTCTGCCTAACGATTCGCTTTTCGATTCGACTGCCAAGCTACTAAAAGATTCGTTGCTTTTTGTATATCGCAGCACCTGGAAAGTATGCTACATTTGATCAGGAAGAACTGAAAAGTAAATAAAAACCAAATAAGATAAGAAAATAAACAGAGTTCAGCTTTTGTTTCGGGCTCTCTATTTTATTAGCTTCAAGGAATGACATTCGATAATCTGAATTTAAACCAGAATATGAACACTTTATGCGTAATTTGGAAACAATTCCATGCACACAGAAAACAAACGAATTTTGATAGTACAACAGGTCCGAAAAATCATGAAAAAACAAATACAAACGATAAAACTTAGCAAATTTTGAAAATAATAAGCGAGGTAAACCGCTCACAACATTAAAAAGAAGTTTCGAACCCGAAACTTTTTACAGATTGCTAATGTAAAGCGGGTCCATTTGGTCAAAAGGCTTGCTTGAGGGCCAAGAGCTCAGATCGGGCGATTTTTAGCGTCGGGCTTTCGGTTTGTATGATGCTGGTATTGTGATCACTGGGGGTTCCCCGATTTTGAAGAAGTAGGGATATGCTTCGGTTTTGGTTTTTGAATTCGGTTTTGATTCGGTTCATCTGTGTGCTCACATGTGTTTGGGGAAACGACGTTGTTGATGTTTTCTTCTTTTCTTCCTTTTTTTTGTGCCCCGCTTGCTAATCTGGGCCCTTTGCTTCCATGTTTTGCTCACTTGCTCACACACACCCTCGCTGTCCAAAAACGAAAAACTTTTAAACAAAACAACGTAACACGAACAACGAATCGAACAATCTCAACTTAGGAACAAGTAACGAGGGTCCCCAGAGGGGTGGTAAGCGTGGAGGTTTTTGGGGTGGTGGTGGTTTCGAAATGAAAAAAAAAAACAAACAAAAATAACTAGAAACCATGGGGTTTTTGGACGACGCCGCCGCCGAGATCGCACTTCCTATCGATTTGGGTTCGGTTCGTATACTTTTCTCAGCTCCTGTACTTTAAGACACCATCTTCTGTTCTCCTGTTCTTCCAGATCCGTCCTCGATGTTTCCCAAGTTTTGCTGGAGAGCTTGTGCTTCTGTCTTCGAGTTCTTTGTGTCGCCTCTGCCTTAACCCCCACTTGTGCTGCTAGTTCTAGTAGATGCACCCAAAATTCTAGAACCGGGAGCTATACCCGCGGCATAGTGTCCCTCAGATCCTCGATGCTCCAGCACGGCGTTTGTGGGTGTGTTTGATGTGGGGTCGTCGGCGGCGAGTGCAGCAATGGCGAATGATTTTCTGTGTGAAATATATTTATATATATGCTGCCCTGAATCACAAAATTGAGAGGGAAGAGGGGGGAGGAAAATGACAGGGAAAATGCGGTGGTCTCAAGAAACGCAGTAAAAGCCAAATACATACATAATTACCAACCGAAAAGCGAAGAGGTAATAAATAAAATAAACAAAAACCAAATATTTTGCTATTCATATTTTTTTTTCATCTCGTATTTTTGTGTTTTGCATTTTGCTAAAATTATTAAGTAGCTGTTGCTTTATTGTTATTGCTATTTATGCGTTCTTTTCTTCTTTCTCATTTCTATATTTATAGGTAGTATAGTGTGTGTGTGTGTTTGGGTGTGTATGTGATTAAATATGCTTCGTTTTTGTTTAATTTGTGATGATCATGGGGCATTATCCTCGTAATATGCACGTATATATAATTATACAAATTAGACTCCATAGAAGTAGAAACTGATCTCCCTTCTGGGCCTGCGCCTTTTCGGCGTTCTCGTCTATCTCTTGTATATTATGTAATTGCTGAATTCATTTAGGTAGGTAGGTACTTAGTCTAAAAACATTTTTGTGCTCTTAGTTGAGCTGCACTTAATCAGTTTGATGTTCCTTCATTAAAATATATATTATTCTTTGCGCTATGATATATATGTATTGTATATATATATAATTTTTCACTTTCCTTTTACTTTCGTCTAATTGCTATTTCATTTTTGTTGGTTTGTTTGTTACTTGCCATTTGTTCATTTAATATATGTATATATAATATAAATATTCACTATATATAAACTAAATAGATTTTTACGATGGGACAATCTGCTCTCTGCTCTTTGCTGCTGTTCAGTAAAAACTTAAGAACTCCTTCATTTCGCTCTCCGTCATTCAAGTCGTACAATAAATTGAGTTTACAAACATTTTACTCCGTCTCTTTTATTTTGGTTTTTGTTTTGTTTGTTTTGTCAGCAAAAATGTTCATTCATTCTTTAATTAATTAATCGTTATGGTTTTAATTATGCCTTGGCATTATCTTTATAATGTATATATGTATATATCTGTATAATATATTTAATATTGTTTTAAACCTAAACAATTTATGAATTTTCGCTTTCAAAATATCACGTATATACTTAAGTTATGCCTTGGATTTATTAGTTATGATCTGATCTTTATCTGATTAGTCTGCGGAAGATAAAATTGCTGGGATGGCTGGATAAAAGAGTAAGTGAATCGAACTCATTTTTCAAACTTAGGCCTTGTCTCTTGTAAATTTGTCCCTCACTTTCCCTCCCCAGCAATTTGGGTTTTCTGGGAAGTGCCCAGAGTATCCCTGCGTTCAAACTAAATTAAAATCCCTATTGACTGACATACATGTACATAAGTACTCTTGGTTGGTGGTTTCTATGTTGCTTCTTCGACTTGATTTCAGTTTTAGTTTTTAACTAGAGCATGCCTAAGTGAATTATTGCTTTCCATTTCATTACATTTTGTGTTGCTTCGTTTCAACAAAGAGTGATTTCTAATTATTGTTACAATTCGATTTAAAAATGTTTTGTATTTAACTATTTAACAATTTAGTAAAAATTTGTCAACAACTTCACGGCGAAGTCCATTTGCGGCGGCAGCGAGTCTTAAAATTGATGGGGGCGACCTTCGGCGATGTCTGTTTTAGCAGGTATTTTTGAAACCTCTGGGTTGGTTTATTACGTTCGTCTCAATACGATAACAGTGTTTTTTTAGTGGGCAAATAATTTAGTTTCGTTCAATAAGGCATATACGTATATGTAAATATTTATTTCGAATTTTCCGCTAAGGTATTGATTTCAGCCAAATTATGCACCAATTTGAAATGGAATTCGCTCGCAGATCGCCGGCTGCCCCCGCAAATGTGTTTGGCCATCGCGTTCGCATTACTTTAAATAATTTTGGTTAACACATCTCGCTTTTCTCGTTCGTGTTTTGATTAGTTTGATGCCATCATCATAACAATAGATACAACAGAATCTTAAGTGAGTGTAGAAAAACAGAAATGATAAATCAACATTGTTTTGTCGCAGAGTTCGTTTTGCTTGGTTTTTACTCTTGTACACATTAGTTTATTAAATTATTATATTAATTTACGTTTGCTTGCTTTTCGTATATATTTAACTATATTCTTGTGTAACACACACCTATGAGTGTCTATGTATTGCTTGAGTTTTATCTATTTTCCTTGTCGCTAGAGCTTTGAGTTTAGCTTTCCTTTAATAGTCTCTCTAATATATGCCTCCCGATTATACATGCCGGGAGTTGTGTATGTTTCACGCATTTTTTAGCTAGCATATTTTGAATATCTTTATTGTAGTGTGTTTTTTTTTTTTTGTATTTTTATTTTGTATTTAGTTCACTTTTTGCTTGGCTTATGTGGCTAGATTTTATGATTTTTACTTTATCCTCCTTTTAGTTTTCTCGTTTAGACTAAAATTTCGTTCAGTTTTCTTTTGCTTGGCTTACAAGTTAGGTTTTTTCCTTCTTAACGAGTTCTGATCGGAAAGTTAAGGCCATTTTTGCTAATTATCCTTGACTTTCTGCTCAGGATTCGTTGGTGTGTGCGTTTTAGTGTGTGTGTATGTGTTTTATGTATGTGTTTAGTGTGTGTGTGTTCGCTTTGCTGCTTGACTTTGTCGTCTCCTTTGCTTATTCATCTTTTTGCTTTGTATTGCTGTATGTGTCTGTGAAGGACAGTTACAGTTACGAGTTACAGTTACTTTACGCTTTATATGTATTGTATATATGTATATAAATTAATTTATGCATAATATTATGTCTTTAATCTTCGATCGCTGCCCCGTTTTCTTAGCTACCATATATAGTTCATGTGTGTGTTATGCAATTTTACTCAGTTATTCCCTATATAGTATATGTATATATAAGTGTCCTGCACGAGTGTCTCTCTGTGTGTGTGTGTGTGTGTGTTGGCTTGAGTGAGTGCTCTCCACGTTTGCTGCCTCTGTATTCTGTATAATCCAGTTGTGGGTATTTAGCATGATGTTTCCTATATAGTATAGTTTAAATATGGTTTTAAGTTCTCCCCCGCTGCCTCTACATATATTTTTCTGTCTTTCACTTGCTGACTTACCACACACACACACACAAACTGCAGTTTTGTCAACGTTTCACATGGTTTTAGCCCCAAACCCCCTCCCCCTCCCCCCCTTCTGCTGGTCCACCGCTAATTGCACATCATAAATGTTTCCTCTACCAAAATGTTTATCCCTCATCACTCACCACTCCACTCTCACAGGCACAACGCAACATCTCTAATAACATAAGCAGCTTACTTTACAGCATTTTGCAATGGTTTCCTTTCGTGTGCGTGCCTGTATAAGTGTGTGTGTGTGTGTGTATGCCAGTGTGGGTGAGTGTCCTTCCAGAGCACTTCTACCTTCAATATACCATTTCCTTTGACTAAACATTTCCGAAATTGCAGCTGTGGTGCGTATTTGTGTGTGTGTGATTTTATATAAATTCTATTTATGCTTTGTAGTTTACTTTTGTTGCTGTTCTTGTTGTTGTGGCTTTTTGTTGTTTGTTGTTGTTGTTGTAGTAGTAGTAGCATCACTATTGTTGCTGTTGCTGCATCCTCAAAGTTAACATGGATAAATTCCTACAAAATAATCGAAAAAATTGGCAAAATCTTCATGTATATCTGGGAATTTGTTTGGTTTCATATCGGTAGTTTCATAAATATATATATTTTTATATAAGCAAAGTGATTGTGCCGACTACTACTATTTACATTCATTCTCTGCTATTTACAGCAAGCAAAACCGAAAAAAGAAATCCAATCGAAAATCGAAGATAAAAATATTAGATGTAGGTATTTCCCTCGCTATGGCATTCAACTAATTTACATTACATGTACATATTTTTTGTTTTTAGTGTATGTGGCCAAAACTAAAGCTCCAAACTTAGCATAAATTAAATTAAATCATAGGCATTTTAACATAATCGTAATCAACTAAAATTATAAACTAAGAGTGCGGCTGCTGCTGCAGTTCGATCAGAGTTGAGGGGCATATATAGCATATATAGCGTGGTATTGTTGTTGTTGTAGTAGTTGTTGTTGTTGTCGCAGATTGTTGTAGTTGTAGTTGTAGTTGTCGTTGCAGTTGTAGTTTTTAGTTGTTGGTATGGTTTAATATTCAGGGCAGCTCTCAACGAAAAATTGGCGACTACGAAAATTTGTTTACTTTTTTTTTTTTTTTGATTTAACCTATTTTGTGGTGGTTGATTTTTGGTGGTGGTTGTTGTTGTTGTTGGTGGTGGTGGTGCGCCAAGAAAAAATGAAAGAAAAGAAAGCAAATACCGATATGTGTAAGCTACGACAAACGAGAGATACTAAATACTATAAAGCTGGCTGAAAGCGACTTACCTTGGTAATTCTGAGGCCAAATGGTGGGTACATTCTGCAAGGAAATATTTTGAAATAAATACATAAATATTTTTGATTAAAATAGCTTTTGTAAAGCTAACAGCACTGAGGATCGATTAAAAACAATTTGTTATAGAACTTCCAATTACTTTTTGGAATTCACCAACAAACATTTCATTTGTAAAACGCAAATACTTTTGTTGTAGGCTAATTTGAAGGCCTAAAATTGTATATTATCTTCAGTGCCATTAGTTATACCTTATCTAGCGCCGGTTTCGATCGCACTCACCATTGGCACACTGTAGTACTGATAGAATGGCTGATATTGCATGGCTGAAGGTGGGTAGATGGCTGGCACTCCAGCGGCTGTAAAGTCAGTAACTTGGTTTGGTTAATTGTTTCCCAATTGATGGTGGTGGTGGTGTTTTGGTTGTAGTTGTTTTTCGTGTTGATGAAGTGGTGTATTCGAATAGAGAGAGAGTAATGAAATACAAAGAAAAGAAAAACAAATGTCAATATAAAACGCAAGTGAAACTCAGAGAAACGATGAAGAGACCCGACGACGACGACCCCCGTCAACGCAGAGATTACAATAACATTATAAAAATCGGATTTAAATCGCCCCAATTGGCCATATCTCACCTGGCGGATATACAGCGGCTGCGAACTGATCCATGGGTATGTTGCTGATTGGTGCCGGCGGCGTGGTGGTATAGTAAACAGCTCCGTTCGTGGCCACAATCGATTGCAGAGGATTGGGCTAACAGGAAATAATTGATTTAATTATATGAAATATATTTTAATAATAAAGCACTTAACCACTCACCTGCTTTTTAATGGCTGGCGCAATGTTCAGTTTGCGATCACGTAGCACCACACATTCACCCTGTTTTTGGTTGTTTTTTTGTTTTTTGGCCAGGAAGAGTTTGTGAAAGAGAAAGGAAGAAAGCATAAATAGACTTGCATTAATATCGGATTGATTGCATTATAAACACACAAGCCGAACGAAGAAATTCAAATTCAAATCGAACGCAGCAGCATCAAAAAGTCTCAAAAAATAGTTAAAAATTAATGCGCAACGCTTTTGGTTTTATTTTGTGTCTTTTTTTTTTATATAAATCTTCTGTTCATTTTTTGCTTTTTATGGCACGGCCATGGCTAAGAGAGAGAGAAACACGTGCCAAGGCAAAATACCATTACCAAAGTTATATAATATATATATATATATGTGTAAATGTATATATTGTGGGGTGGTGTTGAGTGTTGAGTGGTGTGTTTAAATTAAGTAAGGTTTATTACAAAATGTCATGTACATATGTTGCATATATAGTAGATCTGCGCTGTTTTTTTGCTGTGGGTTTTAACTTGGCTTCAAAAGCAAATCCAATTGCCAACATATTGTTCTCTTTGTATCGTAATTTCATTTTCAATTTGCGCGGCACAAAATTCAACAACATGTTTATTTTAATCAACAAACAAACACAAAAAATTAATTAACCAGAATAATAAACTCGTATTAAAAAAGTATAAAAAACTGAAAAGGCACAAAAGCGTTTAAAGAACAAAAATCAATTTGGAAAATAAAGCTTGCTTTTTGTTTCGTTTCTTCTCTCGTCTCGTGTTTGCTATTGTTTAAAAATTAAATCAATTTAAATACAAAAACAAACAATTATAAAACTGTAAAACCAATAAGGAAACTTAAATATGTAACACCAACACCAAGTTAAAAATGTGAAATCATTAAAGTATACTTGTCAAGTCACAGAGAAATTATATATTTATATAAAGTTTTTCGGAAAGGGGGGCAGTTTGAAATTATGTCCATAAACCTTCTCCACAAAGCCTTTCAGCGAACTTTTCATCTACTTTCCTTTGGCCCGAAGTAATCCCATTTTAAAAATGCATTTAGCATCTCTCCAACCCAATAAATCAGCCAATTTACATTTAATACCTTTTTCTCCGACCAAACTACTAACGCAGATAGGCAGAAGGCCCACCGACCGACACAGGATGGCTGGCCAGTTCATCTTTAATTGCCAATTAGTCCCGGCTGATACCCTTGTGATTTGCGCTCGAAATGCATGAAAAGGACACCGCTCCACAAAGAGATAAGCCCAGACTCCTTGAGGAAGTCGGGGAGTGGCGGTTGAGTGGTGGGTGACCCCTCTTGGCAGCGGTAATAACCATTAACCTAAGCAAATGTTTGCGGGCCAAGGAGATGCTACTTTGTCGTTAAAAATAAGCGAAAAAAAAACAGTGGAAAATGTGGAAAATGAAATGAAAAGAACGGCACGGCACGGCATGGCTCGGCATGGAAAAACCTGAGCCGCCGCTGCTGCCACCGCGTATCCTTTCTGACCGCCGCTGGGCAAACATTCTTTTCATTTATGTTCGAGTTGGCCGCCCTCGAGCCATCGTCCTCGGCCAGCGACATAAGGATAAGGGCCATAACAAAGGGCCAACAGTTGAGAAAGTAAACTAAAGATGAAACGTATGGCAAGGAGCTGCTGCCTTTGCCTGGAAGGTCCTGAAGCCCCTTGGTATCCAACCTCCTTACACCACCCCCCGACCATTCTTAACCACTTCTTGTCTTGACTGAATTTAATTAAGAATCCTTTTGGTGGCTGGCTTTTACGGTGGCGGCCCTTTGTTTCAGCACACAAAAAGGACAACACAGAACCCCACAGTCCCATCCCGTCCCGCTCCACTCTCCAAAAATGATTTAAAATTGAAGAGTCTACTCCCTGAGAAGTAGGCAAATCTCATACATTCGAAATGTGCGTTTCGAGTTCATTTTACGGACCCAAAATTTGCTCTAATCTATATGTATTCGTGTTGCGTAATTATGCATGTATGAGGTGACAATGGTTTGGGTGGTGGGGGATTAGTTTGCCGTCATAGAACATATACACAAAAATTAGTACACGCAGTGGGTCGTCTCTGGATTTAGTTGACTAATATGATATATACTCGTATATATGGTTTCGGATTGTGGTCCCCCGTTCAACACATTGCAAAAAGCGCCCAGTCGCAACCCTTTTTTCGTTGGATTCTGTGGCTTTTGATGAGTTTCGTGGTCGAAAAAACTCGAACTAAATGCTAAACTTTTCTAAATGAAATTTAATTAGTGTAATGTGTGTTGTTGTCTCCTGTGTGTGCGTGTGAGTATGTGTGTGTGTAAATTATAAAACTTGGTTAAACGTTGCCAGGACTTGTTTTTATTGTTGTTGACGTTGCCACTGCTGCCTTGTTGTTGTTGTTGTTGCTGTGTGCCCGTTTCAGCTTTTGCCTTTTGCATAGAGTGTGGTCGTTGTTATCCTTGTTCTGCCGGCGGGCATTATACTTTCTGCTCTCCCTTTGCATTCACAAGGACACTCGTGGCCCAGACTCCGGGCAGCAGTAGAAGCAGTAGCACCACCACCATCAGTGGCAGCAACAAGAGGTGGAACAACAACCAGAACGACAACAATGCATATTAATGACGAGCGGCAAAGTTTTTCACTTAATATGCCACAGAGCACGGCGGAAGCTTCAGCCTCCTCCGAACAGAACACAACATCGTCAGAATGGAGGGTAAAATGTGCAAAAGTAAATGGGAATTCTCCCTGCAATGGGTAAAAGTTGCATCACTCAGCCTGGCCAGTGCTTATGCAATAATTATAATCAATTAGTATGCCAAAACACAATATGGCAGACAAGTTCACTTTGTAATGAGCCACCTGGAGGCTGAACTTTTTATGGACCGAACTGAACCTAGCCCAGATCTTGACTCTATATAGTCATGGAATAAGTTGCAACAGCTGCACTGGCAAAAACTGAAACATCTGGAAAACTAATTTAAATTTTCAGCATTTTTTAAGCTGGCTTTACCAGGAATTTTCTTCTATAGAATTTATTTTTCTGTAAAATATATTTGTATATATTTATAAAAACTATAAAAAAAGGTTACACGCTTGTTATTTCAACAATTTATTAAATTAACTTTCTGTTAATTTCTGTTTATCGTTTAATGAACTATTTTTTTTGGTTAATGTAATAGTTTTCCTCAGTGTAGGTTTTTTTCAGGGTGAGAAAGAGCGTGGGTTGCCCTGGGGAGAGCAGGTGACTGGACTGCTAACTTTGGGGTCGAGAGATATATAATATTCCCTAGGAACTTTTACGCCGCGCACTTACTTGCCTGGGGATTGGAATTGGATTATTATTATTGTGACTGCTGCTGTTGGTTCGTTAATTATTCCGCAATTGGAAAAATGTGCAATACACAATCGATTCGTAATCAGCAAATTAGGCAAAAACGGAAAAGATGTGCCAACAATGCAACTTTACACGAAACTATAACTCAAAACGGAACTCAAGACTTGGATCAAACGAATTAAGGCAACAAGGCAACGCACTAAGGTATTGTCTATATAGTCTAGTAGTCTATAAAGTCTATGGAGACCGCGTTCCAATAACGGAGCCAAAAGAGCAAAATTCGCTAATTGTTTAATTGTTTGCATAAAATGAGCATTAAAAACGGTGCAACGAACTCAACATTGTTTGCATTTGCATTTGAATTTGGTTTTGGTTTTTGTTTTGGTTTTGGTTTTTAGCTTAACGGGCAAACTTCGATATATCAATAGGTTTTTGGATACGTGTGGGTGGTGTGGGATCAAAGAAATATATAGGAGGAAAAGTGAGGCTGCCTACGCTTGGGGAGAGAGTTGTAATGTGTGTGTGTGGGTTATATAATAACTGGGTGAGTGTGTGTGTGTGTTGTAGTATTGTAAATATGTGTGTGTGTGGTTTTGTTTCTGGCAATGAAACGATATAAGGAACGCAACGGAATCGAATGTAACGTAACGGAATGGCAACGCAACGGAAATGTAACGTAACTCGGAAACGTAAACTCAACAAAAACGCAATAAGAAGAAATTTATAAAAGAACAAAGTGCCGTCCGTACCTAAGGCGGTACATCTGATCATCATATATCATATATCGCACAATGGCGACAATCATATGAGCTTTTTCTTATGTGGAACCCCCCCGCGGGGAGTGTTGGTAGTAGTAGTAGTAGTAGTAGTAGATAGTAGTGGTATCAGTAGTAGGAGGAACCGACGTCTCATAGAAGTTGTTCTTGTGTGTGATGGGTCAGGTAATGCCCTAAAAGATCGGAGCACAATTTTAGGTTGTGTTGCATATGCTGCACTTTCGTTTTGTATCTTTTCATAACGCGACAATCAAAAGAAATCTAAAAGATGTGTTGGGTTCGTTCGTTCAATCGTTCGTAGGTTTTGTTGGTGATGTTCAAACGCTCGCTTCATCGGAATGGAAATCATAATACTGGCATTTCTTTTTTTTTTTTTTTGCTTTTTTTTTGTTTTGTTTGGTAAACGTTCAACAGGCGACATTAGCAACAGGTCAAAGGAGAGGTACTCACATCCGCTTGCAGTCTTTGCGCCTCCTGCTCCGTCTCGAAGGTCACGAATCCATAGCCCTTGCTCACGCCAGCCCGATCCACGATGATCTTGGTGCTCTTCACCGTTCCGTAGGCGCTGAAGACGCGGGTCAGATCGGCCTCGGTGGTATCGCCGCTGAGTAGATAAGATAGGCATTAGTTGGCTTCACAAAATTGATTTTAATGCTTAAGGAACCATAAGGAAATCGCTTTTGATTTTTTAAATAGCGTAAATGATTTAAATTTTAAATACAATAAATTATGTATTTATTATTAAATATAAAGAGTGCAATCTTTTTTTAATTAAAGTTTGGTACTACATACATATTTTAATAAATTGCTTCTACCTAAATCTATTTTATTTTATTTTTTTTCTATCAGAAATTATTTTAAAATTTAAGTAGGCAATGCAATACCACCTTAGTTTTAGGTTCTGCTACAAAAATATGCTTCCATTGCCAAAAAACAACAATATTCGGACTGCAGACAATTTTATTTGGTTCAAAGCTATATTCCCTTATCAATTTCATTCCTAGAATTACGTTCAGAATTTATTTATTCTATTATTCAAGGTTACTCTCAAATATAAAAGGCGATTTCTAAGGATTCCCAGAACAAGTGCCCAGTGGACCGGACCACTTTGAGGACCATCTCACCTGATGCCGCCCACAAAGATGCGGTTGGGGATGAGTGTGCCGTATTTGGGCGCCGCCAGGGGCGTCTCCAATCCTCCGCCGGGCGCTGCCGTTGGAGGCGGCGCTGCCGCGATTTTGTGCATCTCTGCGGGTGTCGTCTCCAGACGAAAGTTGGGGGCTCCGAAGGGCAGAATCTTGAGGCTGTTGCTGGAGATTGTGGGTGCGCGCTGGCCGAAAAAAACGTTCTACTCGCTGCCGTTCGTTGGATCGAGCGGCTCCGCTTTGTTGGCGATTTTCCTTTTTTTTTTTTGGTTTTTTTCTTTTGTTTTTGCTGCGGAGGTCAGACTATATCGAGAATCGGATCGGATGGCGATTATGCGGCGGCTGGAGCTATCGAATTGGATTGCACTGCTTTAGTTATAGCACGCATGTATACAGTTGAATGCTCTCCTGGTGCCTGGCTAAATCTTGAAATCTGGAAAAGGCAAGGCACAATTAAACACAAAATTAGTTGAGCTCATTAATAAGCCATTAAAATAATCAGCCACATGGCCAGCAAAACAAAAGAGACGAACCGAGAGAGATGAGAGCAAAGAAGAGCTGAGCATTTGAATCTCGGGGAAAATAAAGTAAAGAATTGCCCCCTACATTTCGAAATGAATCTATTTCTGGCACAGCCGACATATGTCACACGAGGAAAACTCAGCGCAGGCACGCTCACAGATACGCACAAATACACACACACAGACACACACAGCCAGGGAAAACTAGAGGTAGTTGTCGGGCACCATGTGTGCACCATAAATTCACCTTCAGAAGCGGCGGCGAGACAACTAAATAGCACAGAGAGTTTAATTTTAACAGCAGCAGCAACAGCAGCAAATCAGCAGCAGCAGCAGCAAAAGCAGCAGTAGCAGCAACCAGCAGCAGCAACATCACAGCCGCAGCAGCAACAATAAACTTGCCTTGTCAACAACACGATTTGAAAAAGTTTTTGGGCCACACGAGAGCCAAATGAACACGGGGAAAATTCATATTGGTTCCTTATAGCCAGAATCGTGTTTTCAATAAATCAAATTATTAAGACAAAGTGTTGCCATTTGTCTGTAATGGGTACCTATACTATAAAAACAGAATGGCCAAAATGTATCAGCTCTTAAATTGTCTTTTTATACTATACTTCATATATTCCTTCTTTTGTCAACACAAAATTAAAAGACTAATTGGCAAACATTTTGAATATTCTGTTAATTTATAATATACACATTTTGTACCCATTTTATATTAAATTTTATTACCTTTTTTCGGTTTTTGATGCCTTTTCCTTTTAATAAAATACTAAAACTAATTAAATACGAATGACAATAGTTTTACTATTTTTCCCTGTGCATCTAGAAATTATACGTGTTTGCTATGAGCTGCAGATGCCCATTATAATTCCGATCGAGGAAACTCCAACATGCACTAATTTGAGTTCCAGTCAAATACGTTCGCAGCCTTCGTCAAACATTTGATTTGGATGTGTGTAGATGGGTATATAGATTATGTTTGCATGTTCTGGGCGTCGCATGTTTGCTGGTCCCCGCCAACACTTAACGATCCAAATATTTGAATGCAAGTAGCGAGTGACATGTATCCGTATCCCTGGCTATATCAGCGTTTGTATCTCGTATCTGTAGTATTTGTATCTCTGGCTCATCGATGATGGGCGACGCGCTCCATTGCCAATGCTGCTGGTTGCTTATCATCAGACATTTATCTCAGCGCCACGCCCACCGCCCAGCGAGGAAACTTGACAAGTGTCCGGCGGATGGAGTGTCCGAAAGTACGGCAATTCGATTGGCGCACACACATCGCAATGAAAACATAATTAAATTTTCATTAACAATGAAAATGTCAAAATTGTTTGCGTTCGCGCTGAAGTTGCGCTATGCCAGGCATTTCAATTGTACGTCCGCACGACTCGATCGATTTAAAGATATATGTGTTTATATATAGGTACGTATATACAGCAAGTCGGATGCACGTATGAGATATCTATTTAATGGACTGTGTGGGAAAGTTGTTGGCAACACGTGATTTTGTATGGCTCTATTTGGCCGACCCATTTTCCGTATCTCAAACAGATACGATAAATTAGTGAAATACAAGTGCTTGTATAAATCAAGGCAATAAATTCTCTTAGGCGCAATTAAAACTAAATCCGCATATATGCATAAATGCGAAACCGAATAACAGATATATCTTCCGCTCATTAAATCGCGTCACAGTTCCAGAAAAAAGAATAAATATCGAAATATTTTTAGAAACGAGAGAAAAACAAAATCAAGTGACGCTGGCCAAATGAAAATAGGAGTGTTTGTATATATCCCCGTTCCGTCTGCCGAATATAAATACATATATAGTATGCTATATTGGCTTGGCCAAAAGGAAAATTGTGAAAAACTAAAAGCTTTGCCATAGATTTTCTAGGCTTCTCGAGCGGATGTGGCCAGCATAAAGTGGGTGAGGCAAAAGCTGATTTGCCGATGGCTAAGTGCCCCTGACATGATTCATGATGAGCCAAGATGAGCCAAGATGGGCCAAGACGGGCGATGGATGATGGGCGGAGGGCAAGTGCTCATGATTTATGTGCGGCTCTTAATTATTTACAATATTATGAAATTATTTTTGAGAACTTTATTCCTGGGCATTAGCAAAATTGATGATGGGCGGGCTAGTAAAACGGCGACAAAGCGAGAATACCAAGAGCAGAGCCAGCAGCAGCAGCTGAATTATTAAAATGTTCATTACTCCATGGCCATGGTAACTACGGAAAAGCGACAGCAACACCACCAGTAACACCACCACCATCATCAGTAGTAGTAGTAGCATCTGAGGTCAGCCGGAAAATCACGGAGTCAGGTCCGGAGTGGAGCCACTGCCACTGTTCGCAGCATGACAACACTGCTGCTATCAATGGAATTTAATCAACAGCAGCAGCCCAGAGCTCAAAACTCTCACACAATCCCCAGCCAACCAACCAACCCACCAACCCATCAACCCACCAACCTTTCCATCCAACTATACGTCCACCCACACGGCTGTCAGTTAGTCAGTCACTCAGTCAAACATTCAGTCAGTTGTTGAGGTGCTGCTGCTCTCGCTCGGCGTTCTCGTACCCAACAATATTGCAAAATTCCACGTGCGAAAATTGCGCGAGTAATGCCAATGGAAACGGGAACCGCCAAAGAATTTTATATCGCCCAAAATGAGGGAAAAGAGTTCGTGCCACATTGATACGACTGTCTACTGTACTCAGCGCTTTTGGATTTCGGCGAGAGATATGATCTCCACAATAGCGGAAAAGCAAACAGTAAAACAACCAGTGAATTTTATATCCCTAGCGGGTCGGAATACGCGTATAATTACGAAATTTCGTTAAAACCACGGCTATGCAAATGGAAAGAGATGGGGGAAATATAAACCGCAGATATTATGGCCTTGCTAAAGAATTTTGATATAACGAGCAGAAAAACTAGGGGATAATGTTGACACAAAGGAAATGCATACACCGAATGGTGGAACAAAAAAAAAAAGTAGAAAAAACCCTCTTACCAGTTTAAAAAAATATTTAAAATAATAAACGGGGGGGAATAAACGTGGATTTGAACTGCAAATTGTTTAGGTAATACAAAATAAAATATAAATACATTTGATACGATAAAGAACATCTTAAATGGATTTTAAATTATAAAAAATGTATTCAGAAGTAGTACAAAAAAATCACAGATTAACAATCATTTTACATAATCGGTGGACAACAGAAAACCCGTTGATAAGATAGGGAACCAGGAAAATGATTTCGTTATACCCATCGGAAGAGCCCAAGGGTGATTCATGTCCCCACAAAGTAAATGGAGAAATAATCCTCGATTCGTTAACAATTTGCAGTTCAATGTTTGATATCGCAGGCATTAAAAAAACATTCTGCTAGCTGGTTGGGTTTTTTTTCTCGCTTTTATGTCCGTTTTTGGCACATTTCAAGCGTAACTTGGGCAATTAGGGCAATGCAATTAGTGAGAGCCAAACTATTGAATAACCAGACTGCGTAGCCAGCAGCAGTTGGCGGAATAAATACGGAAAATGGGGGCGGCGGCGGCGGCGGCGGCGGAAGAGAGTGAAAATGTGGGCGGGGCAGTGGGAAAGTCGACGTAGAACAGTTGCTGAAGAGAGTGCAAGTTTGACCTATAAAATAGCAGCGTGGGCGCGCTTCACTTGGCACAGATACGAAGCACTAGGAAGTAGAAAAAAAAGGGAAATGAAGCCAACACACACAGTTGTGGCCAAGGCAATGGGAAAAAGGGATGGAAAATGCAGGGAAATCGTGAAGAAAAGGGAAGGAAATTAAAGGGAAAGGATGAAAACTGGTGGCAACCGAAACAGGAACCGAAACCGGAAGGAAAAAAGTGCGGGGAAGGGGAATCCTAAAGGTGTAAGCACTATTTTAAATCTAAAATGCCCACACGAGACAGACACCCAAAAAAAAAAAGGGAAAAAACCTCCCAAGATAAGAAGTAACCCAGTTCCCCTAACGGACCTTTACTGTATCTCTTTATTGCTGCATATGCACACCTGCATCCTTGTGTGTGTGTCTGCGTGTGTGTGTGTGTGTTAGTAAGCGTCCTTGCCAAAAACAATAAAGAGCAGGCCCCAAGGCGAGCGATAAACGCTGACACAGAGAAAGCGCAGAGAAAACCTCGGCGAAACAGGACCAAATGCGCCTGGCAGTATGCTACACAAAATATAGAAGCTTACACTGAACGGAAAGGGGAGGATATTGATTTAAAGCGCTTTAAAGTAGGGCCCAGTGGATATTTTTATCACAGTAGGTAAAGGTCGAAGAATAAATACATTCGCTGGTAATTACAATGTATTACATAAACATTTCCTTATCTCTTTCTAAATTCTTTGAAATCATTGCTAACTCATTGATAACTTATTTATGGTTAACACATTTTCCGAGTTATGTTCTAAACGATTATCATACCATAAAGAACCTAAATCGGTCGTGAAATAACAATTTTACATTTTTTCATTGCTGAAATAAATTTCTTGAAAAGGCATAAACACAGAATCAATCGGTTGTGCCCCTAACATAGCATCTAAAATTTATTTACTCCACAAAAACACCCTGCGTATCGCTTGTGTAACATTTTTCCCCTGTAAAACGATAGCAAGGATGCAGGATGAATCCTTTGGCCCGCCAGGTGAGGACGATCCGGCCAGACGACCGACCGACTCCCGTGTATCTCCATTTGGCCAGATAAGCGTATCCAAGTCACATAAGGACAATTAGCCAGGCCAGGCTCAAAGAGTTAAAGAGGGCATAACTGCCGACGTGTGGGGATAAAACAACGGGTGGGTGGGGGAAATTAGGAGAGGGCGGGAAAAGCGGGCGAGGAAATCATGTTGATGGCCGAGGCATGACGATGA